CAATTACTTTGACTTTGGCTAAACCATTACTAATGGATGGAATTTCATGTTAGTATTAAACGTTAAAATTGTGAGCATTATGAAGCAGCGTGGAAACGTTTATGTTATACTGATGAAAAGCAGAATTTAAAATTGAATGCATATAATAAGGTGTAACATATATACATTATCTCTGTCTGAGGTAGGTTTTAGCTCCATAATTGCAGAAGAAACTGAAGAAATAAAAATTTAACTAATGTCCTCATGTTCATACTTTTAATAAGTAATAGATCCCAAGACTGAGTTGTAAGCACCCACCCAAATTTCCATTTGAAATTTATCCTTAATCATCTTTTTGTGCCCAAACGCTTGTTATTCCTACCACACCCTGCATCATATATTCAAAGAACTCGCAGCACTGAGTAAAAAAGGTAAATAGCATTTAAAGTTTATGGAACCACGGGTTTTCCCCCGCTCACGTTTCAAAAATTTTTCTTTAGTGTTAGGACTATTTTACAATACAAAAACTGTAAATGCACTTAAAGATAAAAAGTAAATAACCTCAGCTACTCGGGAAACTCGAGTTCGGCGGAAGCGCTCGCTTCTAAAGGCTGGCGAGGGGCGGGCCCCAAGGAGCTGGTGATGGCGTCGCAAAAACACACAAAAACCCTGCCGCACTGCTTTACGGCATTCGCTCCGCCTCTGCAGGTGCGGGAAGTCAGAAGTCGGCAAATATGGCCGCCACGGACTACATCAGCCAGGCTGCGACTGCACTGGCAGCGTTGTTGCTCTTGTCCTTCGGCAGCTTGGCCGCTAGTCAGATCGAGGTAGGAGTCAGGCTCTTCTGACGACAGAGCCCTGGGAGGACGGCTGTGTTGTGGCTGTAAGCGCCCCAGCAGATGTCCAAAACACAGCAGCTGAGGAAAGACTCCTGGAGTCATCTGCATCTCACCCAGGCTGGGCTGTGGGGAGGTGTCACTGGGAACGGGATAGGACAGCGTCTGTTTCAGCCTTTTAAAGCGTTGAATTAAAAGAATCAAATCCTTAGGAGACAGAGACCTGATCGTTTGCTCCTACGAGTGTGTAGGTGAAATACGGGCAAGAGGTAGGTGCAATGTCAACACAGGAGTGGCAGCACACTTTTCTGCTACTGCACTGCAACGCTCCCCTTTGATAGGAGTCAGATGGGTACGGTGTTTTATCTTGGGATTCCCCCGCCTCCCCCACCCCAACTTTTTTTTTTTTTTTTTTTTTTTTTTTTTTTTTTTTAGCGTGGCCGCAGGACGTACGGTTCTCTATAATACTTCTACTGTCCTCTGTACTCTGATGATTCCTCAGTCCATTTCTACAATCTAGATCTCTAGCATAATCTTCAGGCCTGCATATCCAACTTGGCTGAGGCACCGCCGAGATATTTTGAAAATCCGTGCTCGATATTTTATCTTCTGCTTATCCCACCTTCTCTTAAGAAGACATTGAAAAACCAAGTACCCCTTTTCTCCTGCATTTCCTAACCCAGAAATGTTGCTCCTAAGCTAGATAACGTGGGAGTTTTAATGAATTCTTCTCTTTATCCCACATTCTAATTATCACTGAATTCTATGTTCTGAACTCTTAAAAATGCTTTCACCTCTCCTTTTCCACTGGCTTAATCCAGACCCTGATCATTTCTTGCCTAAACTATTTTAATAACTTTATTTTGTTTTCCCTAGGCTTCGTACTCCCTCACTTTGATGCTAGATTAGTCTTCACAAAATGTAAGCCTAATCAGTTTATTCTTCTGATTGAATTCTTTTTTTTTTTTTTTTTGTCTTTTTCCGTGTCCGGCAACGGATCGCAACCCACAGTGTCGCCCCCGTACCGGACCAGGACCGGCAACGGGATCGCAACCCTTGGTGTTGCTCCCGCGCCTGGCTCAGCCAGTGAGCGGGAACCGGTCTGTATGTGGGATCTGAACCCTCGGCAGGAGCGCCACCACGCTCCCAAGCGGTGCACTATAGCAGTGCGCCACCGGGCCAGCCCGATGATTGAATTCTTTTAATGTTTCTCCATTGCATAAAGAACAAACTCTAAACGTTATGATCTGGTTCCTGCCTACTTTACCATCCTCCATATTGGAGCCCTTTTCTCCCTATCACCTCAGCACCTTGAGCTTAGACCAAGAGACCCCAACTTTTTGAATACATACCCAATCAGTTAAAAAAGATATTGAGCATGGACTTTATACATATTCATGATTACTGTTAATTTATATAGTCAGTGTTTATATGGCATATTTTTTAGATGACATAAGTATGAATAGAAGCTTTACTGTTTTCTGGCTTTATTCTAGTGGATTATCTTGAATACTTCATTCTGGATACCACTACTATTCTTTGTAGTTACATAATTACTGTTCTTTTCCACATTAGCATGTTTTATACCTCCTGTTTCCTCTGTCTGTTCGTTTACTAAGACGCAGTAAAAGTATGACCTCTGTAGAATCTTTTTCTATGTCTTACAAGGCAAAGGCCTTGACTGTTGTAATTTGTACACTTGCTAGTATAGTACTCATCAATTATAATGCATGTATCCTTTGTACTATTATTCCATCATCTTCCTTAGAGTGCAGTAGTTCCTAATTGGTCTGTTTGGAGTCATTCTTTCTTCCAATCTGTTCTCCAAGCCGCAGCCAGAGCAACTTTTTGAAATGCAGGTATGATCAAGTCACTCATGTGCACTTTAATGTTTCTCTAAAGATAAAGAACAAACTTTTTCTTCATCATGACTCACAAACAAGGCCCTGCATACTTTGGTCCTAGCCTACACCTCCACTGCTCTCTCTCAAACTTCTGATTATGCTAACCTTCTTTTCATTTTTCAAACCTTTAAGCTCCCTTCTGCCATTAGGGCCCACATTCTTTCTGTGTGGAATTGTCTTTCCTCTTATCTTTTGGATCTTAACCCAAATGTCACTTTCTTAGAGAAACCTTCCCTGACCAGGTCAGGTCCTGTTCTTATACTCTTTTTATTACACTATGTGCCTTTCCTTTATAGGATTTATAGTTTGCCCTTATCTGCTTAATGTGTGTCTATCTGTCTTAGTTCATTTTTGTTGCTTATAACAAAGTACACTGAACTGGGTGAGTTATAAAGAAAATGAAATTTATTGCTTACAGTTTCTGAGGCTGAGAAGTCCAAAGTCCATCTGGTGGTGGTGACAGTGACCCAGGGGTCTCACATTGCAAGATGGTGGAAGCAGAGAGAGCAGAGAGAGCAAGAGACTCTCTTCTTCTTTTAAAGTCTTCGGAACTATGCCCCTGACTACCATTTTTAATCCATTCACTACTGCATGGTCCTACAATCCAATCACCTCTTTAAGGCTCCACCTTTCAATTACCATAATAGGATTTCCCACCCTCTTAACAGCCACAGAGGGTGTTAAGTTTCTAATACATAAAACTTGGGAGACAATTCAAGCTTCAATAGTTTGGGGGGGACATAATTCAATCCACTACACTATCCAATAACCTCTTTGGATAATAACCTCTTTGAAAGCAAGTACTATGAGTATTTTTCCCCATCATTATATTCTGGGTACTCAGGGAAGTGACAGGCGCATGATGCCAAACAAATGTGATGAATTCCCAAATGCTACATTATAGTCTAATGTGTCTAAATCACAAAAGAGTTGTGCCATCTCAGATTTTTCACTAAAATAATGAAATAAGAATTTTGCAGCTGGAAGGTACATAAGAGATTGTTTGGATCAATTCTCATTTTTTGCATGTGGAAAGTAAAGTCTAAAGAGCGAAATGACTTACTCCAATCTCATAGTCAGCTGTAGTATATATAGGACCTGGGTTTTAGCTCAGGTCTTTGAATTCCCAAACCAGTGCTTTATCCACTTTAGCATGTTACTTTCTTTAGCATCTAGGCAGCTGTTGAAAAGGGTTTGGAGAAAAAAAAATGTGTGTGTGCGTATATATACTATATATGTGATGTATATGTGTGTATGTGCCACACACACATTTGACTGGAATTTTTATTTTACTGTCCCTGAAATTTTCTTGTTAGCCAAAAAATAAAACAGCTTACATTTGTTAGGCAATTACTATGTTTTAGTCATTATTCCTACATTCTGTGAGTCAGATAATGTTATTACCATTTTATAGATGGAGAAATAGAGGCACAGAGAAGTTAAGCAACTTTCCTAAGTTTATACAGCTAGTAAGCAATAGAGCTCAGATTTGAACTCAGGCATTCTGATTGTTTTAGTAATTAATACTGTTTGGGAGCAGATCTAAGGTCAGTATGGTTCATATCCACTCATTTTAATATATAATCAAAATTATGTTCATTAAGTGTCAGGATGGTGTTGGATGCTGAAGTTTTTAATATTTTGAGATGGCAAATATAGATAAGACTTTAACATGGGCCGGCCCGGTGGTGCACTGCTACAGTGCACCGCTTGGGAAGCGCGGCGGCGCTCCCGCCGAGGGTTCGGATCCCACATACAGACCGGCCGCTCACTGGCTGAGCGAGGCGCGGGAGCAACACCGAGGGTTGCGATCCGTTGCCGGTCACGAAAAAAAACAAAAAGGAAAAAAAAAAAAAAAAAGAAAAAAAAAAAAAAAGAAAAAAAAAAAAAAAGAAAAAAAAAAAAAAAGAAAAAAAAAAAAAAAGAAAAAAAAAAAAAAAGAAAAAAAAAAAAAAAGAAAAAAAAAAAAAAAGAAAAAAAAAAAAAAAGAAAAAAAAAAAAAAAGAAAAAAAAAAAAAAAGAAAAAAAAAAAAAAAGAAAAAAAAAAAAAAAGAAAAAAAAAAAAAAAGAAAAAAAAAAAAAAAGACTTTAACAGATTAGTGAGATGGTACATGCCAGTATGCTAGAGGATGTGCTCAATCAAATATATTGGTAAATTCAAATAAAGTACCCAGTACATAGCAGGAATGGATGTTGTATGAAGTTTTAACACGAAGGATATTAATTGTTGTGTGTAGAATCAAGACATGAAGGAAGTCATTCACAGTTTCAAAACTGAATGGAAAATTAGAAGCATGTGAAGAGGATACAGCTGTGTTTGAGATAAAATATTTAAAAACAAACATCCCCAAATAATATCCCCTGTCAAAAAATAAAACTTAGCAATTTTTATGGATGTTTCAGCACATTTGTCTGACCTTCGATGTTTCATATTATGACCAGTATTAAAGCATGAATTAGCATAATTGCAGAGATTTTAGAGAATCAACAGAAATGAATATTAAATAATTAAAAGACTAAAAAGACTTCTGTGAAAAAAGTTAGAGGGGTAATTATTTTGTTTTGGTTGAGAATGTAGGGAGATTATTTTTCACAACAAACTCATGGGAATAAAAAGTATCTATGATATTACTAAAGATGAAATATTAATCTTTGAGAAGTTCCTGGCATGAACATTTTCATCTAGCATTCTCATTACAGATAGTGATCACTTTAATAGAAGGATTTTCAGAGTACAGCCTAAAAGATTTTGAAATTTACAGCTTTATGGTAAACCTTTATGTAATAGCTACTTATCTTATTCTGAATCCATCATCCATGTGGTTTCAGTTTTTCCAGGAGAGGCTCTTGTTCTGTTCACTGCCAGTAAAGGCATTTGGACCATGTACTCATTCATCCAAAAAGTATTTATTCAAAATTCACTGAGTCCCAAACTTACTTGGGGTACATCAGTGAATGTAACTGATGAAAGCCCCTGCACATCCTATTGGGCAGATTAATTAATAATACACATAATAAGTTAATGATATATAATGTAAGAAGATGGTAAACGCAATGGATACATTATGGTAAGGAAAATGGTGGGGTGAGGTTGCGGTTTTAAAGAATAGCTTTGCTAAATTTATTGAACAAACAAATCCTGTGTTCTCTATTGAGCACACTTTCTACTTTCTTATTCTCAGGGTATGGAAAATAGTAAGATGTGATTTATATAATATACTTTCATTTGTGTAATGCTTAATGATTTTGTAAAGTAGAAGCTCTTGCACCCACATCTTTACAGTCCTTTAAAATAGCAGTGTGATGTAGGGTTGGCATTGCTTACATTTAGCATGTAACGAAACTGCGTGTCAAGGAAGTTAAGTATCTTAATCAAGGTTACTCTGTTTAATCAGTGTCTAAGCCAGTACTGGAATCCAAATCTCCAGATTTCCAGTTCAGGGCTTTTTTCCTTACAGTATTTTAAACTGTAAGTTCTTTTGAGTTTTTAATTTTGTCTACAAGGTGAAATACCGCAATGTTCACAAACTTACATGAGATTATTGTTATTATGACTGTATAAATTCCACGAATCTTAACTGTTCTTTATCAGTTTTTATTCTGGGAAAATTGTGGGTTTTTTCTTCTAATGATTTTGCTGTTTTATTTGACTGATAGGATCAAGCAGAACAATTTTTTAGAAGTGGCCATACAAACAACTGGGCTGTTTTGGTAAGTATGTTTTATAAAGGTATACCTTACTGTTCATATTAAATATGTGTCTGAGAAATTTTGTGTGAATCAAATTTTGAGAATTTGTTTTCTTATATTTATAACAGAATTTTAAAATCTTGATATAGCTATATTTTAAATTGACTGCATTGACAAATAATATTCTAATAATATTCTTTGCCCTTAATATATCTGTCAACTGGCAATCTACAAATAAGAATAAATTAGGAGTGTATTGTTAAAGGAAGCATTTTACAAAATGTACAATTATTTTAATGCTGGAAATGAGTGATTATATTTCTTATCTGTGATATTAGTTTATAGATATTGTCTACTTATTTTCTTTTATTTTTTAATGTTTTCTGTCTACAAAAATAGTAAATGATCAATATAGAAAATTCAATTATATTGAAAGGTTTAAAAGAAGATTAATTTTATGTTACGTGAATTTTACCTCAAATGAAAAAAAGGAAAATTTCAAAGTCCTACATCCCAGGATCAATATTTTGCTGATCCCTTTCTATTGTCATATATAAGCATAAAGATATATAGATATACATTTTTATAAAACTGGAATCATGTTATACCTGCTATTCTGCAATTCTTTAGCATATCTTGGGGATCTTTCCCTATCAGTATATATGGAGATATATAATCTTTCCAAAGGCTGTATTGTTTTCTGTGTTATGAATGTACCATAATCTCCAGTTCACGGGCAGTTATGAATATCCTTATACATACATCTTTGTGAACTTTGCTGATTTTCTCTTTGGGATAAATTCCTAGTCATTAAAATGTGAAGCATTAGAGCATGATTACTCCCCAGAAAGACTGTACGTCTTTTTCTAAATTCCAGTCAACTGTGTACTATTAACTTTTATCTTTTCTTTTTGGCTTCTGGGCAACAAATTCAATTTTGTTTTAATTTGCATTGTTTTGATTCTTAGTAAGATTTGCTTATTGGCTTATTTTTTTCTTCTGCCTTTTTTCCCCATTGGTGTGAACTATCATTTTTAATTTATCTGGATACATAAATTTGTATTTTTAATTTCCCAAATAGGATACATGTAATCAATTTGTTTTTCCTGTGCTTGGGAAATATCTGGATAATAGTTTCACTACTGGGGCTTCATTTAATATTATGATTAGAATACATGATTAGAAGATACAAGTTTACAGTAAGGTTGACTTAATGAAAAAGTGTATAAATGGTTCGACTGGAAGAAAGGATGAGGAAATAAAGAATAGGTTAAAAGCGGTAGAAAGGAAGCTGACTTTTCTGAAAAAGAAAATGAGCAAAGAAAGCCAGTAACTTATGTTAGAAAAGGAAGAAAACTAGGGAACACAAATTGTAAGAATATAGTGGGAATGTAAAAGGTGGGTAGAAAAATTCAACTGAAAGTGCAGAACAAACATACAAATATAATTAACTTTACTAAGGCCAAAGGTAAGTTTATTGAGAATTGTTTCATAAAAGCATGTAATTATCTACATGTCACTAGAAGTAAATAGAATGATTACAACTGCTATACGTATTTGTATTAAATGTAAGTGTATCGTGATTAAACAGTATAACATGGGTTCATGGTTCATTTCTTGTTCTCCAAGAATGAATACCTTCTATAAGCTACCCCTTACAAGAGATGTTATGAAAGAATTGAACAAAAGCTGCTTGAGATAAGGAGAGAAGTTTTCAATGTCTACTTAAAAGCAAGGAAAACTATCAGGAGCCAGGCCATGATTTACCAATTCGAGAGGATAAACTCTACTGGAAACTGAGTGCTTCCATGATTAGTCTTTCTGTGGGGAATTCTTAGAAGAGGGAATAACTGCGTATGTGCAGGCTACCAGTTGCTGAAGGGCTCATCCTTTAAAACTAAAAGACTATTAGCTTATACTACACACTTATTAAGGCCTGCCCTGTTCTGGGAAGAACTCTCCAATCTTGGTAAACTGAGTTCCATATGAAAAATAGAGGGTAAAAAGAGATATTACTGAGCATTTCACAAGAATTGCAGTTTTCATATTTTGCCCAATATTTTACACATTAATGTGGAGTTAGTATAGTGAAACTTCAGTGGATTGTACTTTCTTAAACGTAATATTATGAAATTTTGCCAGGCCCAGTTGAAAGGACTGAAACTGCATTTCTTTCATTGTTATGTGATTCAGATTTTAAAATATCTAGGTTTCTCCTCCAGTTTGAATTAATTTGTTTTTAGTCTTGACTGGATAATCAGAGGTAAGTGAAATGCCCCTTTGCTCTTGTGAAATGACAGAAAACCTTTGCCACCAAAGGGAGATAGAAGGAAAGTTGGATTCCATTTTAGTCTCAGGATCCACTCTGTATAAACATTTTTGCCTATTTAACAAAGCTACAAAGATAATTCATACTATGGTAAAACAGTACAGTGAGGAAGGGTATAAACTGATATATTATTGCACCCCTCTTTGATCTTCATTTTTATTCTCTTGTGGTAATCACTATTATCAGTTTCTTGTGTATCCTTTCAGAAATTTCTAATGTGTATAATCACATGTGTGTCTACCCCTCTCCTCTTTTTATTTTTTTTGTCTTTTTTTTTTTTTTGTCTTTTTTCCGTGTCCGGCAACGGATCGCAACCCTCAGTGTAGGGTATAAACTGATATATTATTGCACCCCTCTTTGATCTTCATTTTTATTCTCTTGTGGTAATCACTATTATCAGTTTCTTGTGTATCCTTTCAGAAATTTCTAATGTGTATAATCACATGTGTGTCTACCCCTCTCCTCTTTTTAAAAGACTAATGGATCACACCACATGCACTTTTGTAACTCGCTTTTTTTTGATATTGCATTCAGTGAATATGTGATAATTTATATTAAGTTGGTATTTTCTGGTCCCTTTTATTTTCCCACCTTAATTTTCTCTTTAGAAAATAACTGGTGAAAATGAGGGAACTTTTAGATTTATGCTTATTAAATAGTATAATAGATCACTTTTATTTTTTTTTTTTATTTTTTTTTATTTTTTTTTTTTCGTGTCCGGCAACGGATCGCAACCCTCAGTGTTGCCCCCGTACCGGACCGGGGACCGGCAACGGGATCGCAAGCCTCGGTGTTGCTCCCGCGCCTCGCTCAGCCAGTGAGCGGGAGCCGGTCTGTATGTGGGATCCGAACCCTCGGACGGGAGCGCCGCCGCGCTTCCCAAGCGGCGCACTATCCAGTGCGCCACCGGGCCGGCCCCCTCTCCTCTTTTTAAAAGACTAATGGATCACACCACATGCACTTTTGTAACTCGCTTTTTTTTGATATTGCATTCAGTGAATATGTGATAATTTATATTAAGTTGGTATTTTCTGGTCCCTTTTATTTTCCCACCTTAATTTTCTCTTTAGAAAATAACTGGTGAAAATGAGGGAACTTTTAGATTTATGCTTATTAAATAGTATAATAGATGCAAAAACTGTTTGGTAAAATACACTTAATTTTTTATTATGACTAATTCAGTTATAAATTGTTTTATACTATTTCTTCTTCAGGTTAGGGAAACTGTATTTTTTGGTACTGATAGGCAGTGATTTGACTTCTGATTTTTTGGTTTTGATTTTTGCTAATACAGGCAATGTTATAGTGAAAAGCCTTGACTACCTATTTTTGCATATATATATGAGTTAAATCAAAAGATATGTACATTTTCAATTGATGTATGTTGCAAATTACCTTCTTAGAAGGTTTATATTAATTTACATTTCCATCAGTAAGCTATGAATACTTTTCTCCATACCCTTGCCAACACTGTGAATTGTCAGACTTTTTGATGCTTATTAATATGATTTGTACTTTTAAAATTATGACTGAAGTTGAGTGAGCATCTTTAAGAATTTTATTGTCCATTTTTAATACTTTTGTTATGAAATGTTTGCTCTTTTCCTTTGCCCATTTTAAAAATTAGCTTGTTCATCTTTTTCTTATTGAATTATAATTAAAGAAATTAGCCCTTATAATATTATTTTTAGTTTTTCATTTGCTAGGATTTTATAGTATTTCTGACATGGAGTTTTACATTTTTATATATTCAAAAAATTTTAGTCTTTTCCTTGTTGGATTCCAGGTTGAAAATTCATTTTAATAAAAAATGTGTATAGTTCCTTTCTGTTTGGCTGGGACAAGAGCATTTATGCTATTCTCAAAATTCTTACTATACCTACTATAAGTACAGGCATGTGGTAGGAGGTAGGAGTGTGGTTGGTGGATATACTGCCAGCTGACCCCAATCTCTGTTTACCTCCCTTAGACTGGATTCCCAAGAACATTAACTTTTGAGGTATGGAGTTAGATTTTCCTAGCATATTTAATATCATTTTTTAGGAATAGCTTTTTTTTTTAAGTGTAAAAGTTGGTTGAATTGTTTTTTAGTTTTCTGTTCAGTTCAACAGTTTCTTTATAATGCATTCTCTTATGTGCATATAAAACTTTGTGTGTTATGTTTTAGTCTGCGGCTTATATTTCTCATAACTAAGGAAGCAATCCAGAATGAAAAGAATATTAAATAACTCAAGACAGCTAATTTTCTTCTCTATTCTATGAAGAGATTATGGGCATTGTCCTTGACCCCAAAGAATTTGATCTTTTAGAAACAGGAGCATTATAGAATCAAAGAAATTGAGTGTAACTACGTTGGTTCAGTTTTTTCTATGTACTGTTTACTAATTATGGAAGACTTACCTCTAGAGAGATTGGTTTTATTCATATTTCTTCATGTTCTTTGATGTTTCTGAATCTGAATTATGGCATACTTTTTCTTTAGGTATCTCTATCCAATGTAAAGAAAAGTAATTCTGTACCTGCATGGCTTATTTTGATTCATAAAAATAATGTATTTATTTTAATACTTTAGGTGTGTACATCCCGATTCTGGTTTAATTATCGACACGTTGCAAATACTCTTTCTGTTTATAGAAGTGTCAAGAGGCTAGGTATTCCTGACAGGTAAGAAACCTTAATACAGTTTAATAACTTTGAACCCCAGTGAAGATCACCCTTACATAGCTGCTATTATATTTGTATTTTTGTGTTGCTTTTGATTAAAAAAAAACTAATTTGAAGGTTTTTTTGTTGTTAGAGCCTATCACCATGTATAAAGTAGATATAACTTAAGACTATAATGACAAGTTATATAAAAGAAGAATCAAATATCCTAAGGTAAATCTTTTACTGAGGTAAAAAGATTTGTTAAAATGTAATTGCTTAGTGTTATTTAATTAATTATTAAATGCCTCATCTGGTGCTTTTTTTTTTTTTTTTTCCTTTTTATCTTTTTTACTGACCGGTAACGGGATCGCAACCCT